GTACTCAAAATACCGCGCAGGTGATCGAAATACTGTGCAGATGTGCGCTATTTCGCGGTAATATGGTAGTTAAATAATAGTAATAATATAGTTAAATGATTTTATTAAGATGATTATAGGATAGTTAAATAATAGTAATAATATAGTTAAACAATTTTATTAAGATGATTATAGAATAGTTATATGATTTTATTAAGATAATTATAGAATAATTAAATAATAGTAATAATATAGTTAAACGATTTTATTAAGATGATTAAATAACAATTATAAAATAGCTTAACGATTTTATTAAGATAATTAAAGAATAATTAGATAACAATTATAAGATAGTACAACAATTTTATTAAAATAGTTATAAAATAGAAATAATATTAAAATAATTATAAGATAATTAAATGAGTTTATTAATAATTATAGAATAATTAAATAACAATTACAAAATAGTTCAACAAATTTACTAAAACTTAGGCATAAGAATCTGTTGAATTATCCAATTCGATAAAAGAGAACAACTTGTAAACGTAGCAATTACCCAACCCAGCTAAAGAAAAGCATAAAATCTGTTGAAACACCAAATCTGGCCAAAGAAAACAATTCATAAACAAAGGAATTTGTTGACATCACCAACCCGGTTAAAAAAGAACAATTTGTAAGTGTAAGGATTTATTGAATCATCCAACCTGATCAAAGAAAACAATTTTAGTAAAGAAATTTGTTGAATCATCTAACCCAGTCAAAGAAAACAATTTATAAGCATAGGGATTTATTGAATCATCTAACCCGGTCAAAGAAACCAATTCAAACAAAGAAATTTATTGAATCATCTAACCCGGTCAAAAAAAATAATTTATAAGTGTAGGAATTTGTTGAATTATTTAACCTGGTCAAAAAAACCAATTTGTAAGCATAGGAATTTGTTGAATTATCTAACCTGGTCAAAGAAAACAATTTGTAAGCGTAGGGATTTATTGAATCATCTAACCCAGTCAAAGAAAACAATTTATAAGTGTAGGGATTTGTTGAATCATCTAACCCGGTCAAAGAAAACAATTTGTAAGTATAGGGATTTATTGAATCATTTAACCCAGTCAAAGAAAAGAATTTGTAAATGAAGGAATTTATACATCGCCCAATCCGGTCAAAAAAGCATAAATCACCCAACCCAAACAATTTGTAAGCTAGGGATTATTGAATCACCCCAACCCAGTTAAAGAAAACAATTCATAAGCATAAAAATTTGTTGACATCACCAACCCAGTCAGAGAGAAGCGTAAAAACCTGTTGAATCACACAACTCAGATCAAAGAGAAAATTTTATAGCATAGGGATTTGTTAAATCACCCAACCTGGTTAAAGCAAACAATTTGTAAATGAAGGAATTTATTGAATCACCTACCCGATTGAAGAAACAATCTAAGCAAAGGAATTTGTTGACATCAACAACTCGGATCAAAGCAAATAATTCATAAGCATAGGAATTGTTGAATCATCCCAACCTGGTCAAGGAGAAACATAGAAATCTGTTGAATCACCCAACCCAATCAAAGAGAAAAATTTATAAGCATAGGGATTTGTTGAATCACACAACTCAGATCAAAGTAAACAATTTAAGCAAAGAAATTTGTTAAATCACCCAACCCAATCAAAGAGAAAATTTATAAGCGTAGGGATTTATTGAATCATCCAACCCAATCAAAGAGAAAATTTATAAGTGATCCCGTTATGTTTCGATATTTGTGTGTAACTATTTATTTTCAAACATAAATTTAGCATTACTTATCAATACTTTATTATATAACGATTTATTATGTTATCGATATTTACGCTCTTAAACGATATTTATCTTTTACCAACGTAGAGATTTGTTGAATCACCCAACCTGGTCAAAGAAACAATTTGTAAGTATAGTAATATGTTGAATCACCTACCCTGTCAGAGAAACAATTTGTAAATGAGAGAATTTGTTGAATCTTGAATCACCCAACCCTGGTCAAAGAAAAGCGTAGAAACCTGTTGAATCACACAACTCGGATCAAAGAGAAAAATTTATAAGTGTAGGGATTTGCTGAATCACCCAACCTGGTCAAAGCAAACAATTTGTAAATGAAGGAATTTGTTGAATCACCTACCCGATTGAAGAAACAATCTAAGCAAAGGAACTTGTTGACATCAACAACTCGGATCAAAGCAAATAATTCATAAGCATAGGAATTTGTTGAATCATCCCAACCTGGTCAAGGAGAAGCATAGAAATCTGTTGAATCACCCAACCCAATCAAAGAGAAAAATTTATAAGCATAGGGATTCGTTGAATCACACAACTCGGATCAAAGCAAACAATTTAAGCAAAGAAATTTGTTGAATCACCCAACCCAATCAAAGAGAAAATTTATAAGTGTAGGGATTTGTTGAATCATCCAACCCAATCAAAGAGAAAATTTATAAGTGTAAGAATTTGTTGAAATTACCTCAACCCTGGTCAAAGAGAAGCGTAGAAACCTGTTGAATCACACAACTCGGATCAAAGAGAAAAATTTATAAGCATAGAGATTTGTTGAATCACCCAACCCAATCAAAGCAAACAATTTGTAAACGAAGAAATTTGTTGAATCACCTACCCGATTAAAGAAACAATCTAAGCAAAGGAATTTGTTGAAATTACCTCAACCCAGTCAAAGAGAAGCATAGAAACCTGTTGAATCACACAACTCAAATCAAAGAGAAAAATTTATAAGCATAGGAATTTGTTGAATCACACAACTTGGATTAAAGAGAAAAATTTATAAGCGTGGAGATTTGTTGAATCACCTACCCGATTGAAGAAACAATCTAAGCAAAGAAATTTGTTGAAATTACCTCAACCTAGTCAAAAAGAAGCATAGAAACCTGTTGAATCACACAACTCAGATCAAAGAAAAAAATTTATAAGCATAGAGATTTGTTGAATCACCCAACCCAATCAAAGAGAAAATTTATAAGTGTAGAAATCTGTTGAATCACCCAACCTAATCAAAAAGAAAATTTATAAGCGTAGAGATTTGTTGAATCACCCAACCCAATCAAAGAGAAAATTTATAAGCATAGAGATTTGTTAAATCACCCAACCCAATCAAAGAGAAAATTTATAAGCATAGGAATTTGTTGAATTACCCAACCCAATTAAAGAGAAAATTTATAAGCGTAGGTATTTGTTGAATCACCCAACCCAATCAAAGAGAAAATTTATAAGCATAGAGATTTGTTGAATCACCCAACCCAATCAAAGAGAAAATTTATAAGTATAGGGATTTGTTGAATCACCCAACCCAATCAAAGAGAAAATTTATAAGTGTAGAGATTTGATAAATCATCCAACCCTGGTCAAAGAGAAGTGTAGAAACCTGTTGAATCACACAACTCGGATCAAAGAGAAAAATTTATAAGCATAGAGATTTGTTGAATCACCCAACCTGGTCAAAGCAAACAATTTGTAAATGAAGAAATTTGTTAAATCACCTACCTGATTGAAGAAACAATCTAAGCAAAGGAATTTGTTGAACTCACATACCCGGTCAGAGAAACAATTTGTAAATAAAGGAATTTACTGAATCACTCAACCCTGGTCTGTTGAATCACCAAACCCAACCCAAAGAGAAAAATTTATAAGCGTAGGGATTCGTCGAATCACACAACTCGGATCAAAGCAACCAATTTAAGCAAAGGAATTTGTTGAATCACACAACCCGGTCAAAGAAACAGTTTGTTAGTATAGAAATTTGTTGAATCACCTATCCGGTTGAGAAACAATTTAAGCAAAAGAATTTATTGAAATCAAAGAGAAAAATTTATAAGCGTAAGAGATAAGGTCAAATTTATCTTTTATATAGCATAGTGGAAGTTCATTTTGATTGGTTAAATTAAGGATAAATTTGATTAGCGAAGATCTTTTTTTTTATACTGTCAATTGTAATTTTTAAAGTACCTTTAATAAGTAAAAATAGTTACGACATATAAAATTTTTTTTCTGCAATACGTAACTACCACGATGACTTAATATATCATTTTTTTATCTTTAAATATACTGTTTTTTAAAAACTGATGCAATAGGATGCAAAAGATTGAAAAACTAAATGAGAAGTGAAAGTTTTGAAAGGTCAGAAAGTATTTCGGCGACCTAAGCAATTAGTAAGTGAAAGTTGTCTTAACTATGTAGTTCTACTTTATTTTCTATAAGTAAAAAATACTATATATTTGAAACTAATATTCCAAACTCTACCTTTTTATTATATTTAGGTTATGAGTAGTTTATAAATACATTTTATAGTATATAGCAGTGTTTAGAAATATTTGTGTATGTTATTTTATTTAGCAGATTGTGTTGCGAAACTTAGAGTATTTGTTGTAAAATAAATATTTTACTTATTGCAAAATAAAATAATATTGTATATATTGTGAAATATGAATAGTTATGAACCCTAATTAATGCATTGTAAGACTATAATACATGCCTTTAGAAAGTATTAACTAATTTTTTAAAAGTTTCATGAGTAATAAAATTTTATCCAGGCATAGTTGATATTTTATCCAGAGAATGATCTACATTTTTTCTGGAGTATTTTAACAACCAATCAAATAAACTTCAACTATGCTTTTTTATATTAAATTGCCTTAAAGTAAAAATCATTATGCAAATAATTTCTATTGTTTTGATCATGATGTGAACTATCACAAGTATGTTCACAATCATACAAAAAATAACATTGCTGCTGATGATCAACCATTGAGATAGTAAAAATACGTCGCTATTGATTATTAGTTTCATGTTGAAGTCGAAATTGTGCGTATTCCAATATTGGATGAGTTTTTTTCAAATCTTCAAACCAATCAAAAATAAAGAAGGCATAAACTTTGCCATTATTTGCTTGATATGTGATAATTGCTTTGACTAAAGCGAATGAGCTATTATTAGAATCGCTGATCTCTTTTAAGTCAACTACATCACCTACTCGAACTTTAATCTAAGAATTAACTCCATTATGTTCTAAAAGATCATCATTATCTTCCATAACAACATAACTAATATAGTCAAAAAATGCAACCTTATATGTATTTAAAGCAGCAAACATATTAAATTCTTCACAATAGGCCTTGTATAGGTCTAAGTGAAGGCTATTATTATCTGTATTAAAGTTCCAACCACCAAAGCCTCTCTCTCGAATCTCCTTATTTTTCCAAGGTTTCTGAGTATGGATTTTTACAAAATGGCTATCATTGCAAAAAATCATATCTGTAAAAAATTATAAAAGTAAATTTATATTCTGTAATACTGTATAAAAAACTTTAATAGATAGAAATACCATTTGCTTCATTATCTTCAAATTCCAAATCATCAATTGGGTCAGATGATTTTGCAATATACTATCCTAAAAGCAATAGTTTTAGCAAAAAATAATTTGAATAATCTGAGTTCAGGACACGTTCATCTTGCCCACCATCAAGCCATGCTTGAAGTGTGTTGTAATGCCTTAAAAGATCAAGATCAATTTTTTTTTTGTTTGTATGTGGAACAAAAGCTTTAAATAAACCATGCATAGCCTCTTTGACACCACAAACAGTATTAACCAAAGTTCCATAATTTTTGGCATTTGCAATTAGATGCATATTGACATGAAGGTTTGGAAGATGAAGAAAAGATTCTGGGAATACCTAAAAATAGTTATTATCAGATTAGAAATTAAAATCAGTTTAGTTGACTACTATATATGCTTAATTGATTAATTAATCGACTAAGCATACATAGTAGTCAACTAAACTGATTTCAATCTTTATAACAGACCAATAAATAATAAGGCTTCAAATAACAATAAATGTTTCAATAAGTACCTTTATCAAATAGTCATGCTCTTTTTGCAATACTTTGATAGCATTTCCAAATAATCTTCTTTGGGAAACGTGATAACAAATATCTGTTTTATAGAAAAAGAAAGTGCTACCCAACATTTAATGATTATATCAGTAACCTAATCTCTACGCCGACACTCTATTGTGCTCCAAAGATCAGAAAGCATAACTTCTTTTATATGTTGAATTTTTAAAAAGCGGTGCAGAATATGAGGCATTAATATTGCAAGACGTAATGAATCTGACATTATAAAACTTTTTTGGTGAGTTATAGGATTTGGTAACTTGGACCAAAACCTATTAATTTCCATATTTTCAAAAATTCCTCATTGCCTTCATTATTAAAAAGTGATAAAGTGCATTCCATTAGTCGTTTTGCCTTTCCAGCCATTGCATGATAAAGGTCTTGGAGACATTGCTAATGTCGATCATGGTATAACAAGTCTAAAATGTTTTTTTTTAAACACAAGCAATACTCTGAAGCAAGTTTTTTTTTTTGAAATGTTTTCTTGTAATTGTATTTTAGAAAATTGCGTATTAGTAATATGGTGATAACGAGAGTATCATATGATATCGTAATTGCAATCAGTTAATTCTTCTGTTTCAGCCTGACAACTTCTGCACCCACGGTTGGCACTATGACGCTTAACCCCACAGAGATCATTACCCTGTGGAAGTTCAGTAGTTACTACACCTAAACTACCTCTACATAAACTTCCTTTCTATCATATAAAGTCATTTGAATGCCATTTTGTAGCTGTTGAATGTCTGCTATAAATGGCTTTATAAAATCTTCAAATTTAGCACCAAATGGCACAAATCCTATGGGATAATGGTTTTTTAGTAACTTTCTTAAACAAAATGACATATTTCCAAACTGAATATATACTCCGCCAAGTGAATGGTAGACATTTCGAAAGGTCCTGAAATCATCATAATATAGATCAATAAAAATTTGCAAACAATGAAGTCCAGATAGTATTGGAGGCAAGGTCATAGTTTCACTTGGATGTCGGTGCCGATATTGTATTGGACGAACCTTCCATGATTGATTATGATAATATACAATTTCATCTACAAAGTATTCCTGTTCTTCTGGTCTTGGTTGATCTATAAGCCAAACCTTTACTTGACTTCGAATCCTCGTAGCTGGCATTATTATATATTGTTCATTAGCTAGCCATAAATATCTACCTTGTGATTTAGAATATCGTTCAGCTGAACGAAATTGAGTAGGTATCATAGAATACTTTCATAATTGTTGTATTTTTACTTTTGGATTTCCTTTTACTTGAACAAATGATCGCAAAAAACCAATCTGCATATGACTTCGCTGGTCTACATAGGTTATAAAATCGCCTGTATGATAGGTTGATATGACTTGATCTAAAAAGCATAAATACAAAAATAGATTTATTTAAACTTTGAATATTAAAAAAATACTGTAAATTCTTGAAATAGCAAGCATGGGTATTATTTCGAATCTTGGCCTGAAGTAAGGACAAAATTCGAAATAATATCATGCTTGCCATCAGTAATATAAATTCAAAATAGTTTCATTAGCGCAAACGAAAAACAAAAAAAGAATTTATACGCATTATATATATACGGAGAGCCTGATATATGCGCAAAATTAAACTTATATACACTGTATTTACTGTGCCAATTCAATTTATATTACTGATTGCTATTTCAAGAATTTACAGTAAATAAAAGAAAATAAAGCAAATTACAAAAGACTTGCAAAATATCTGGAAATATAATATTTAGAGTATCATCACTAAATAAAAGTGACTCTGCCCAAATTCTTCCATGCCAAAATTCTGCTCTATCCTCACCCTCGATTCCGGAACCAAAATACATTTTTGAAAACAGTATAGAGTTTTTTAGAACCTGTTGTATAATATCAATTATAGATAAAGTGTACGCATTCTTGACTGGTAGTGATGTGGAAGGTGTTTTGTAATTATTAATTCAGACTATATGCTGACGGATTGGAAGACTAGGTAGTCTTAATCGACATTGTCTTAGCATACATACATTCCGTGGCATATCAAGAAGATTAAATTGGTCATTTGAAATAACTGTCACAAGTTCCTGAAATGCCACAGTTGCTAGTAGTAAAGAGTTAGTAAAAATAAATACAATTACGATAAAACAAAATTTTATATTGTTTTTTTGCTTACAAATAGAGTGCTTTGTTACCCAAGTAAACAAAGACATCTCAGTAAAATTTGCAAAATATGGACTAAATATATTTTCAAGATTTTGTGGAAGCTGACTTGCTGGTTTTTCAAATATAAAGTTTGCAGCTTTAATTTCATCTGAAAACTTGTCCTTTTCTTCAAATAGATCACTGGAATCATCAAAAACTTGCTGATCAGAGTAATTACTATCAGACTGGTAATCATCTTGGTCATCAGACTTGTCAAAGCCTTGCAGGTCAGAAAAATAAGAATCACCATCCTCTTGAGGATCATCCTCTTGAAGATCATCGGAAAAATGCTGGTTTTCAGCTTCATCTTCATTTGAAATAATATTAGATGAAACATTGCTAGTAGTTGCATTTGCTTCTGATTTAACAGTACTGGAATTACGTGATTTAGATTTGCAAAGATTTAAATGTAGATTGTTACTATTTCGTTTTCTGTTTCGCAAGCGTAGAGTAGAGATTTCCATTTATACAATTTTACACTTTCTATGTTTTGGTGCTAATTAGAAAAAAGGTTTTCTTATTTAATCGATCTTATTAACACGGGATTAATAATAGCGTTGCTACTAATTATAGTTCAAAAGGTAAAGCGAACAAGAAGAAATTATTAGCCGCACAATGGCTTCTTTAGATAAGTGCTTTGTACGCTTACTCGAAATTGTTGACCCTTACTTTTTGGACAGGTATTTACTAATGTCACGGGGTTAAGCGATACTACTAATTTAGCACCAAAATCTAACTAAATATGGGTCTGTCGAACACTCACTGGTATATTATTTTTATTTTATATCGGCAAATATGATTACTATCAAATTAAGTATTATTATCTTTATTCAGATTCTGCTTTCTTTATGTGTAAGATTTTAAACTAACTCTCTTCTTCTATTTTACATTTCTTATTTATATTTACATGCTATACAATTACATCATGTTATTGTCATTGCAATAATGACGCTATAGTTAAGTTTAATTTTACGTCAATATTGTTTTGCATAGTTTAATTTGACTTTTGATCGTCACTCTTACCGTCACTCATGTGACAACTAACATGACCCTTTTTCTCTATATCTTCAGTACCTCTAACCCTATATCCTTCACAAAGTGCTGGGCTTTGTTATTACACTATTTATTTAATCGCATGTTATGCATCAGTGTAAATTTATTTATTTAGTTAACGATTTTACTAATTTCACCCAGTTATGATTATTCGCATCACTATACATGTCACCTTCTGTTTAAAATGTGACATCTCGGCTAGGGTTAGGGGTTAGAGTTAATAGACAGAATTATGCTAAAATTTTGCAAGAAATTTTTTTTTTGTTAGTGCATAAAAGGTGATTTCTTAGATAGTTTTTGCGATATATGTGACTTTTCAAAAAAGAGCTGATTAAGGTAAAAATAAAATTTTTGAACCTTTGAACAAGAACTATAATTAAGGGCAGAGTATCTACTTAAGAATATAGTCCAATAAATTATCAAAGTTTGACTGAATACTCATTACGTTACCGGATTGACCCAAATGCTTAGTTAACTATCTAAACTCGTTAGTCTAATTATGTAATTTCCCAATTCCGATCTTTTGCATGATCGATCTGATCATAGCGGATTATCTGTCATTACAGCTAATTTTGGACATGTGATCAAGATTAAAAAATAGTACGTATGTACGTACTTGTCAGTGAAATAGAGTTTATGCATGCGGAGTTTATCTCAGTATATAGTAGACAAAAATCGTGATTAGTAAGAGATCGATTCTTTTCCAAATAATAAAAAAAATACGTACAATGCTGAGTGAAGTTGAAAGCAATGTTGTCATTAAATTATAAATAGAAATAGACTGGTTTGTTAATGAATAGAATAACATTTTCATCCCTTCAATAGATTTATATATCCCTATATTTGTGCACATACAAAGAATTTTAAAATGCCAAAAAGAAGTCTAATCATTAGAACTAAAAAGGCAGCCCAGACAAAACAAAGTACAGAGGATCAACATTTATTAAATCTTCTATCTTTAAAGCACTAATAGATAAATTTTAGGTCGATCTCCAAATGTGGGTGCTGAACATAGATCAAAACGTCTTGCCAGCAAAGAAAGGTACAGTACAGTACAATTTAACTATTTAAATAAAATAAATTAATAATAAATAAAAAACGATGTGATAAAATAAATTAATAAATAAAACTAATCTAAAAAATGATATGAAGTCAAAATATAGCTATAACTGATTTGCAAGAGCCATTAAGCGCCACACGAATTCTCTCCAACAAACAAGCTTGTAACTCTCCTTCCAAAGCTCAAAATGTAGCTACTACGAAAACTCAAAATGTAGCTACTATGGAAGGTCAAAATATAGCTACTACGGAAAGTCAAAATGTAGCTACTATGGAAGGTCAAAATATAGCTACTACGGAAGGTCAAAATATAGCTACTACAGAAGATCAAAATATAGCTACTATGGAAGGTCAAAATATAGCTACTATGGAAGGTCGTACTACGGAAAGTCAAAATATAGCTACTACAGAAGGTCGAAATATAGCTACTATGGAAGGTCGAAATATAGCTACTATAGAAGGTCGAAATATAGCTACTATGGAAGGTCGTACTACAGAATGTCAAAATATAGCTACTATGGAAGGTCGTACTACGGAAAGTCAAATATAGCTACTACGAAAGGTCGAAATATAACCACAACCAATTTGAGAGAACAAGTTCACAACTTTTCCTCTGGAACTAGCAGCACTTCAATTTCAGAAACCAATAGTGGCATATTAGGTAAACCACAATATACAAATCGTAGTTTTTTCGCACCAGACTATGAATTTAAATCTATTGGATTAAACTTTAGTTTATATAAAGAGCATATGACTACGTTTTTAGATGACGATGAAGATAATTATTCCGTAAATCAGCTATTTGCTTCAGGTAATGATTATTATAATTGGTAATTATTATTATTCTTTTACTAATTTTAGTTTTCTCACTTGACTCTAGATGCAACAGTATTTGAGATAGCAACAAAAGTTGCAAATCGTCCCGAAATTCTTCATATAGCCAATATGATATATCAAAGTAAACAACAAAGGTGGGATCAACCTTCTACATCTCAAGAGTTTCCATTCAGAGAACAATCAACATCATTACCAAATCCAGAACAACTGTCAATCAAGGAATCGACTTTAGAGGTATATATAGTAATGGTTGTTTTTGCATGATGCACATGATCATATTTAAAATGAGTAACAGAGTAATGGCACAGTATTATGATCTCCAAGCTCAATCGGAATAGAAAATAACTTCGTCGAACTATTGAGAAATAGATTTCAATAGCTAGACGAAATGATTTTTAGGCTTGGAGATCATGATACTGCCAAGTTTTTGTACCATTACTTTGTCACTTCTAAAATAGCAATTTCCAGACATGCAGCTATAAAACAAATTATACACTCTAACGGATTATTTTATCTACTATTTAGGTGAGGCTCCGTATATGGCTTGAAGAATTAAAATGTCTATTTCTTCGAACTCAGAACCCATCACAAGCAGCATTCGACAAGTTGGTGGCTGCAACATTGCCAAGTTTTAAACTTGCAGATGATGATTTTCAGCAACTTCTCGAGAAATCCAGGTCAATGTTTAATGATTTTCGGCATGTTTTTAATAAAGACCTCAAGAACATTGCATGCGAGTATCTTGAGAATTTTAGGTAAACCATTTTTAGGAACACTTAAAGAAGAATGAACCTAGTGATAATCTCATTATGTAAAATCATGGAATGACGTTATTTGTTTACTAGCACTAATGAATTTGGCCTAAAAAATACTATCATCTAACCCTAACACTAACTCTAACTTAGGCCGAGCGTGTGTTTAATCCTGTAATGTGATTACCACGAAGATATCACTGGGTTCACTCTTCTTGAAACTACCTCCATTTTTATTATATGCAATAATTCATTAAATTATATTGACATTTATTTATTTGCAGCAATTGCAATGAGGATGCCCTGGATAAAAATGCATTAAGTAGATATATTGATTACAATATTACAAAAAAAATCCTAAAAAGGTATCTTGCATGTGCAAGGGAATTAGAATTTGCAGAGATGACTCGAGATGCACTAAAAAGATTTGTCCAAGCAGCTTTCAAGTTACATGTTACTCACACTCACAAAGAAGCCCAACGTGAGTTCAGTTCATATAAAAAAGTTCTAGATGAAATCAAAAATATGAACTCTATTACACTATCACTTGATATTCCTACACGTGGAAAGTCAGATATATTAAGAATATTTACTGTATAATAGCAATTACACAATGTATAAAAAATTATAAGCCATAAATAGAATTTCATTGCATGTAAATAATTTTGTGATCAAATAATTCGAAAATTATGTAATGTTGCCTTAATCTCTTAGATGTAGCAATTTTATTTATCACATGCTAATATTTTTTGTTAACATTTTACATAATACTTTCTATTAAATCGAGCCCTCATTAATTTTATTGACGGGTAGGAATAATATCGATAAGGTTGTTTAGCAAGTGAAATTATTATCTCTTGATCTGAAGGATCACAGGACAATCATTTCGAATAAAAGTATAAACTAGGAAAATCAAATAATTATACATATTTTTGAACCAGTATATCTGCACAGATAAAAATATAATTTTTGGGTTTCTCTTAGCATAATTTATAAAGCTATGGTGCCACTTTTTTATAAGCATAGGGATTTATTGAATTATCTAACCTAGTTAATAAAGAACAATTTATAAGTGTAGGAGTTTGTTGAATTATCTAACCCGGTCAAAAAAACCAATTCAAGCAAAGGAATTTGTTGAATCATCTAACCCAGTCAAAGAAAACAATTTGTAAGTGTAGGAATTTGTTGAATCATCTAACCCGGTCAAAGAAAACAATTCAAGCAAAGGAATTTGTTGAATCATCTAACCCGGTCAAAGAAAACAATTTATAAGCATAGGAATTTGTTGAATTATCTAACCTGGTCAAAGAAAACAATTCAAGCAAAGAAATTTGTTGAATCATCTAACCCGGTCAAAGAAAACAATTTATAAGCATAGGGATTTATTGAATCATCTAACCCGGTCAAAGAAAACAATTTGTAAGTGTAGGAATTTATTGAATTATCTAACCCGGTCAAAGAAAACAATTTGTAAGCATAGAAATTTGTTGAATTATCTAACCCAGTCAAAGAAAACAATTCAAGCAAAGGAATTTGTTGAATTATCTAACCCGGTCAAAGAAACCTATAAGCATAGGGATTTATTGATGCATCTAACCAGTTAATAAAGAACAATTTATAAGTGTAGGGATTTATTGAATCATCAAACCCAGTCAAAGAAAACAATTTGTAAGCGTAGGGATTTATTGAATCATCTAACCCGGTCAAAGAAACCAATTTATAAGCGTAGGGATTTGTTGAATCATCTAACCCGGTCAAAGAAAACAATTTGTAAGTGTAGGGATTTATTGAATTATCTAACCCAGTCAAAGAAAACAATTTGTAAGCGTAGGAATTTGTTGAATCATCTAACCCAGTTAAAGAAAACAATTTGTAAGCATAGAGATTTATTGAATTATCTAACCTGGTCAAAGAAAACAATTCAAGCAAAGGAATTTGTTGAATTATCTAACCCGGTCAAAGAAACCTATAAGCATAGGAATTTGTTGAATCATCTAACCTGGTCAAAGAAACCTATAAGCATAGAAATTTGTTGAATCATCTAATCTAGTCAAAGAAAACAATTCAAGCAAAGAAATTTATTGAATCATCTAACCCGGTCAAAGAAAACAATTTATAAGTGTAGGAATTTGTTAAATCATCTAACCCGGTTAAAGAAACCAATTTGTAAGCGTAGGAATTTGTTGAATTATCTAACCCGGTCAAAGAAAACAATTTGTAAGCATAGGGATTTATTGAATCATCTAACCCAGTCAAAGAAAACAATTCAAGCAAAGGAATTTGTTGAATTATCTAACCTGGTCAAAGAAACCTATAAGTATAGGAATTTGTTGAATCATCTAACCCAGTCAAAGAAACCTATAAGCGTAAGAATTTGTTGAATCATCTAACCTGATCAAAGAAAACAATTCAAGCAAAGGAATTTGTTGAATCATCTAACCTGGTCAAAGAAAACAATTTATAAGCATAGAGATTTATTGAATCATCTAACCTGGTCAAAGAAAACAATTCAAGCAAAGGAATTTATTGAATCATCTAACCCAGTCAAAGAAAACAATTTGTAAGCATAGGTATTTATTGAATCATCTAACTCAGTTAAAGAAACCAATTTATAAGCATAGGAATTTGTTGAAAACAATTTGTAAGTGTAGAGATTTGTTGAATTATCTAACCTGGTCAAAGAAAACAATTCAAGCAAAAGAATTTGTTAAATCATTTAACCTGGTCAAAGAAACCAATTTATAAGTGTAGGGATTTATTAAATCATCTAACCTGGTTAAAGAAAACAATTTGTAAGCATAGAAATTTGTTGAATTATCTAACCTGGTCAAAGAAAACAATTCAAGCAAAGAAATTTGTTGAATCATCTAACCTGGTCAAAGAAACCAATTTATAAGCGTAGGGATTTGTTGAATCATCCAACCCAGTCAAAGAAAACAATTTGTAAGTGTAGGGATTTATTGAATCATCTAACCCGGTCAAAGAAAACAATTTGTAAGCGTAGGAATTTGTTGAATCATCTAACCTGGTCAAAGAAACAATTTGTAAGCGTAGGGATTTATTGAATCATCTAACCCGGTCAAAGAAAACAATTCAAGCAAAGGAATTTATTGAATCATCTAACCTGGTCAAAGAAAACAATTTATAAGTGTAGGAATTTGTTGAATCATCTAATATGGTCAAAGAAAACAATTTGTAAGCATAAGAATTTGTTGAATTATCTAACCCGGTTAAAGAAAACAATTTATAAGCATAGGGATTTATTAAATCATCTAATCCAGTCAAAGAAACCAATTCAAGCAAAGGAATTTGTTGAATCATCTAACCCGGTCAAAGAAAACAATTTGTAAACATAGGAATTTGTTGAATCATCTAACCCGGTCAAAGAAACCAATTTGTAAGTATAGGAATTTGTTGAATCATTTAACCCGGTCAAAGAAAACAATTCAAGCAAAGTAATTTGTTGAATCATCTAACCTGGTCAAAGAAACCTATAAGTATAGAGATTTATTGATACATCCAACCGATTAATAAAGAACAATTTATAAGTGTAGGGATTTATTGAATCATCAATCCCGGTTAAAGAAAACAATTTGTAAACGTAGGATTTATTGAATTATCTAACCCGGTCAAAGAAACCAATTTATAAGCATAGGGATTTATTGATACATCCAACCGGTTAATAAAAAACAATTTATAAGTGCAGGGATTTATTGAATCATCAAACCCGGTCAAAGAAAACAATTTGCAAGCATAGGGATTTATTGAATCATCTAACCCGGTTAAAGAAACCAATTTATAAGCGTAGGGATTTGTTGAATTATCTAACCCGGTCAAAAAAACAATTTGTAAGTGTAGGGATTTATTGAATCATCTAACTCAGTCAAAGAAAACAATTTGTAAGTGTAGCAATTTATTGAATCATCCAACCCGGTCAAAGAAAACAATTTTAGTAAAGGAATTTGTTGAATTATCTAACCCGGTCAAAGAAAACAATTTATAAGCATAGAGATTTATTGAATCATCTAACCCGGTCAAAGTAAACAATTCAAGCAAAGGAATTTGTTGAATCATCTAACCCGGTCAAAGAAACCAATTTATAAGTGTAGGAATTTGTTGAATCATCTAACCCGATCAAAGAAACCAATTTGTAAGTGTAGGAATTTGTTGAATCATCTAACCCGGTCAAAGAAAACAATTTGTAAGTGTAG